GTGCTGTCATTATGTCCAGACCCGACCTGGGGCAACTCACCTTTCTCTTTTGTAAGGAGCAAAGCTTCTATTTCACATCCTTCCAAATTATTTGCTATTTACAGAGATTTATGACTAGACCCTATTTGATGTCTCACACATTCCAGAAATATTAATTACAGGAGACTGGAATATTGTGAAAAAAATGAAAAAATTGAACATGTAACACAATAGTATAGGCCAATTTATTTTATTCTTTTTCCTTTTACTTGTGATTTTGTATGTCTCTTACCCACTCAACATGGCAAACACAACACAATTTTAAATTAATTGTCCCAGTGGCACTTCACTAAGACCAGAAATGAAATGTATGTATTTATCATATAGGATTTTATCCAGAATGTGCCCAGACCTGGGACTTTGAGAAGTCCTCCCTGCAGAAGCAAGTGAACAAAACTGTAATTTGACAGGACCAGCACTGAGACCTGAGAAGTGTGACCAGATGAAAAGAGAAAAAGCCCCAAAATGGGACATGTGCAATGCCCAGACAAAGGTGAGCAGCAATTCCAGTCAGAAGCCGTGCTTGGAAAGGGAGTCTGTTACAACAGGACAGCCCTGGTGATTTCAGACCCCATTCCTGAGTTACCACAGCCCAGAGCCTGCAGCTGGGAGGCGAATCCCACACAAATTAAGGGGTAAATCAAAACTGGGGGTAGGTTTTGGTGCCCAGAACATGGCTCAGAGCCTCTAGATCAGAAATTTGAGATCTGCCTCTGCTCTCTGAACAGTAGCTTCAGTGAGCACCAAGAGATCTCTGGGTCTGCTTAAACACAAAAGCAGGGAGCTGGAAACAGGCACAGACTCACAGATCTGCAACACCCCAAGGGAAACCTCCCCTTCTCATAAGTGTATCCCTAAAATCTACTCCAGAAAATCCACAGACACTTGTACCAGCATTGCACAGTCTCCAGATCAGAGTACTACCAACTGCTGTTACCCAAAAGTGAGGTTACTAACACAAAGCCACCCTCCACACTGCTGCCTGTTGTGTTTTTGAGTGTGCTCTGCAAGCCACGATGGGTAGGAGCACATAACAATTACAACGACTTCCTTTAACCTTTAACAATGAAGTAAAATAAAGGCACTAAAAGACAAGACAAGAAGCATTATGTGTTTAGGCATGGGTTAGTAAGGATTCCTTTTTTAAGGAGTTTCTGAGTGGTTTTCCCTCTTCCTTCCAGGTGAGTTCTGCCTTTGTGGTTTAACTCTGTGTAGTTTTAGGAGGAGACAACACTGTAATGTTAAGAATATGCACTGATGAGGCTGAGAATGTTCAAAAAACTAAATTTGCAAACTAACACCTTCTGAAGGATGATAGCCCAGCTCCTAAGACATAAAGAGAAGCTCTGGAATTCCATCAGGAAGGAAAATGGTGCTACATAAGAGACATGATAGCTGCTGAAAGGGCAGCTAATGCAGCAAGTGAACAACAGCCTCCCCAGACTGACAGTGGTGGTGGCCAGCTGAGCAGAGGCCATTACAGATCTATTTGTTCAGGAAAACTGGCATAAAATAATATTGCTGCCAGAGAACACGTTGAAACCAAGTCTTCCACAACAATAATTAACTCTAATAGGGTTCCCAGCAGCGAGAAATACTGAAGAAAAGAATTTTAAAAATAAGTATTCATCAATAGTAGTTACAAGGGACACTTGTAAAGCCAGCTGAGCCACTGTCACTTCTCCTCTGCCAGGGGAGGAACCTACAAAAAGCAATGAGACCCGACAATGAAGCCTCACCATTAGTGCCATGTAGAAAGAAAAGTCCTATAATTTATGTTATTGCAACAAAAAGACATGCATAAATGGGAAGCTATTGCAGGGAGGAATTAATGAAACTGAAGAAGTGATTAAAAAATGCAGTCCAATTCCCCAAGGTCAAGTGTTGTTCAGAGAAAAAAAAAAATCACCTGCATAAATATAGAAACAACTGCTGAGCAGCTGCACTGTAGATAAGGATTGGGGATGGAGAGGATCAGAGACTGAGCACAAATTATAAATATCCAGTTGTCACAAACAAGGCAACTTCTGTCCATTGACAGGAATACAAATTCCTGATCATCTCAGTTTTGATGAAGCCTTTGAGAAAGTCCATTTTTGGGAAAGGCCTGCTGGGAATGTGAGAAACCACCCCAGAATGACAAGTAAAGGCAGACAGGTCATCAGGTGAGCTCTGAGGGATGGGGGAGGTAACTCAGAGAGGTGGCTCAGCCTGGACACAGAGAAATGAGAAGCTAAGAATGAGATATGACATGTTTCTATTAAACACAGAAATCTTTGCAGGTTTCTGCAAAGAAAGAGGGAAGTCATGCTCCACATCTACAGTGAGCAGAAAAAGCAATGGACTCAAAGCACAAGAAGAAAAAATTACTTAGGCTGTGAGAAGAACTTTTCTAAATGGTAAACAGTGAAGCACCAGCCTAAGGAACTTAAGTTGTTTCCTCTATTAGGAAGGAAACAAAAATTATTTCACAAATCTGTCCAGCAATACTGATATTGCTTTGATGCAAAAGGCCAAGATGAACTTTTGGAACCTCTGAGGGATCTTCTGAGAAGATATCAAAGCACTGAGAGCTTTGCAGCAACAGCATGAGCCGAGAAATTCCTCTTATCTTTTGCAGTGCAAGGTCTCATCAAATTAAATCTTTCTGTCCTTGCTACTGTTACACAACTCCTTCGAGGAGTAATATTCAGATTTTCTACCAAAAAACCTACAAAAACTGCTGAAAGCCCATTAAGATAGCAGAACTCAAGTCATGAGACTGCCAGAATAAGGCTCTATATTTAGTACCAACAGTTTTCTCTGTAGTACTGTGATAAAGTTCCTTCAAGAAGAGTGGATCAGCTCTATGTAAATATTCTCAAGGCAAACAAAACCTGCTCAGCATCTTCCTTCCAGACCCATGTCACTCATGAAGCTTTCAGTAGGTTTTGCTTCAGAGCTCACTGCTTTTTTTTTTCCTCCCTCACAAGAGACTTCTTCTCCCCCAGTGCTCACTGCAGACCCCGAGGAGTCCTCTTGATCTGTGTGAGCTATCACGATGCAGAATTAGTCAGTTCATGAGTTGTGACAGCACTTTAAATAGTTACTGTCATGATTAGCAGAATATTGGAGTTTAGAACACTGAACTTGTCAGCAGTGGGGTTTGGTCCTTGTTTTCAAGCACAACGTTGGACACTGCAGTATGATGGAGAAAGCACCCCAAAGGGCACTGCACAGTACCCAAATATTTTCTGAATTAAATCACAGAACTGACCTTAAGGGACAAGCAAAAGTTAAACAGACCTCACCCAAGGGGCACATCAAACTTCACCAATATCCTGATACTCCAGCTCAAACCACCAGCTTTGTATTGCACAGCATCTGCCCACCCAGGAAAAACCAGCACCACATTAGTAAATTCAAGTCATGGCTAAGAGAGGCTGACTGAAAGCCCTGTTCAAAAGCACATCAGCTGAAGCATTAACCCTGGGACCTTCCAGGGATTCAGAGGAGTGTTTTATAACCTCCAGTCCTCTGTAAATGTCACAGTCCCCCTTAGGGCCAGACCTTCCATCCTCAAACCTCCTCTACTCACCACTATCATACAGAGCACTCCCATATAGAGTGCCTTGCTTATTAACCACAAAAAATCAGATAAATTAGAAGCAACACTGTCAATGAAGCAACTGATGAATTGTCACTGATGAAGCAAGGACAGGATGGTTCAAGCAACTAATTGCTTTCACTGAGATGGAACCAGGTTCAAATCAAGGGAGAATTCAATTCTTCAGCAAAATACTTCACCTTAATTATAGCTTGTAACAAGAGACAGCCAGAATCTAAATATATGGATGCTCTGCCTCTACAGCACCCACCACTCCTCACAGAATGGGTAAAAATTGACAGCTTTTATATTAAGAAACAAATCCCAAAATGTAGCTCCATCTCACATCTTCCTGCAATCCCACTCAGAGGTGGCTCAGGCACATCCTACAATAATGTATCTGTAGCTTTCTCTGCATGAAGCATCTTTGTACAACAAAGATCACACAAACGTAAAGAAAACGTGTAGAACCAATTCATTTTCAGTCTCCTCAAGTGAAACAACTACTTCTTCTTGCATTACACAGATACACAGCCACTAACTGAAGAAAACCCTAGATAATTTTATAGACAAGAATAATTGACTTTTCAAGCAGCATCTACAAAGAAACGACCAACTATTTTTTACATATTCTTCTAAACTTAATTCTCCAAAGCTTACAGACTTTTTATAGAATTAGCTCCTTTTCAGTTCTTCCTACAGATAGATATATGTGGTTTGCTAACATACAAGTTTTACCACTTAATTTTTAATACATAAAATAGATGTAGTTAAACTGAAAAATTACATATATGACACAGAATCACGAGATGATATATTCCAGGGAACAGTACTATCCAAAACAAACCATTAATTCCTGCATTTCTGGAACTTTGCTGGTGTCTTTATTCCAGCTACAACAGCCTGGATTCCTCTGACAATCTGCATTCTTCACCCAATCACCAGGGAAATACCATGTAAAAGTACTTTAAACGATGGAAAATAATATAGCTAAAGCTTTGCCCTCACAAAATTAGTACACCTGAATTAATAGACTCAAACGCTTTCAGATTCTGAGTTATATTGGAAAAATGTAAACAGTAAGATTAACTTCACCTCCATCTGTGCACCCACCCCTTTGGCACTTATCCCTTCCTGCTGCTCCCATGGGAGCTGGAACCCCTCAGGTCTCTGCAGGTTCAGCAGGGAAATGGCTTTGGACACAACATAAAACAAGAAAGTGAACTCAGCTCATCTCTCCCTTAGAAAGGGAAGTGTATTTAGAATTTAAGGACAGCTGCAGGAGTGAACACATTATCATGTGATATCTTTTTGAGTTTCTGACTAGTTACTCAAATATCAACTTCTGGTATTCTCAAATATTGACTTCTGGTACCTGATCATTGTTCCAGATGCACTGGAAGCCCATGTCCTCTTGGCTCTCTGCACATGTGCCTCCTCTTCAAGTCACAGAAATCAAGCTGTCCTCGGAAGCTGCACCATGGGTAGTGTTTAAGACAGTCCAGCACTGAATTCTTCTCTCTAGAAAGAACAAAAAAGCTCAGAATCCTGCTGAAGTGCATTGAAAAGATGCTCCCAGGATCTACCCAACACATCCCCTCAGCACATCGTGATGTTACGTGGCACATTCGAAGGCAGCAGAGAACATCCAAAATTAAGTATGCACTTTCAAAAAGGAGCTGGGAGTAGAAAAATACCTCAACATATTTAGTACATCCTTTCTTAGCACAGGCACACACTCTGTAATCCTTTTATGGTACAATTTTAATCTAAATTAAGACAGCAGCTCCAGTAAAAGAGCTCAGAGCTTTCCACATTACAAAATCACATCAGGATTGGATTAGCCTGTAAAATAACATACTTCAAGATAATCTATTAATGATACTTTACACTTAATTTTATACTCAAACTCCACGCTATTTGTTTTCCTAATTTTAAGCAAATTTTAAGTAAAAGCATAACTTACTACAGTCCTCCTACGTACATACAACTCAAAATATCATTATTCCTGTTACTACCAGGAACATGCAAGGAGAGAGACAACAACTACTGAGACTCCCAGTCCTGAGCTCACTGCTTCTTTTTTCCACCCCCTGGCTCCCCTTCCCCCCAAATTTAACAGGCTGCAAGACTTAGCCCACCTCTTCATAAAATTAAAGATAAATCAACACCTTGAAATTACAGAACTTTAATGCAAACACTAAACTACCTGGTCTTAAAAGAGTTTCTCTCTACCCACACATATGGGTTTCCTCATATCCTTCAGCATCCTTCAGACACAACCAAGCTACTACAACACTGAGGAAGAGGGTTAGAAATACCAGCACCAGTGTCTTGCCAGAATTAAGAGACTTTAGACAAAAAAATCCATGTGGCACCACCTGCCTCACATTCCACGCCACAATTCAGCTGCTCTCAAGGCCACCCCCAATGTCTGGGAAGTTCAGCACATTCCTAATTTTTTTGCTGAAGTAGGAGCAACGGCCAATTGTACTTGAGAAAAACACGAAGTTCTGTCACCACTGTCATTTCATTTTATATCTCTCCTCATCTTTGCTGGTTTGCCACAAAAACAGGACAGGTAATTCCACATTCCCAATGAGGAAAAGCTTGTGAGGTCCAGGTTAGGCTACATTCAGAGGTTCTATTTGGGCAACAGGAGGATGATTATATAACAACATTCTTGCACAGGAAAGTACCAATTTGCAGCCTCTGTGTCCCTATACCAGGCCTGCATTAACTATTATAATTACAGAACAATTTCCAAATAAAATCTAGAGTTAACATACATGTATCTTAACAGTTTGACTAGACAAACTTCAGAGTTCATACTTGATGTATTAAAAATGTAGATAATTGCCTTTGTTTACAAGAAAATCACATGGTTCTATCAATGATCTATCAAGAAAATCAATGAAAAAAGCCTCAAAAACCAGTAATTATAATTTTTCCACTATTTCAAGACAGGAAACAGGGCATGTAAACACATGGTTTATTTCTTACTTAAGAAAACAAACACTGTAAGCAATACTACAGGTGAAACAATAGTAAGATTGAAAGAATCAAAACTACACAAAATAGGAAAAAATGCATTGGAATACCTTATCCTTGTAAACACAAATCATATACATGCACAGGAGACAGCAGAGAAAATTGGAGAGGTGCTCATAAAAAACATCAGACACCAGATGCCCAAAGTTGGCCAACTGCCACTGGAATAAATTACTGCATTTCACATGAAAAAAAAACAGGATTTAAGAATAGGTTTGAAACCACCATTTGACAACTGGCAGCCAAGGTGGGAATGGTCAGTGTCTAAATGGAAAGGGACTTGTGGGGCTGGAGGACTTTCAGCACCAGACAAGTTCAGCTCTTCCTGCAGTTCTGTTTATCACCATCTTTTATAGACTTCAATTGGCTTTTAACACTTGCTTCCCACATCCAACCTGAAAGATTTCATGCCTCTATAATCCAGCCCAGAAGCCAGCATGTTTCAAGCTCTTAAGAATGCATAAAAGCACTCACTCACTGGGTAAAAACTGCCAATGGGAACAGGACAAACTCAAAAGCCAAAGGTGGGCAATACCAAAATCACCCCACTGGGAACAGGGGGACAAATACACCTGCTGATTGAATTTTCTTTTTCTTCTTTAACATTATCATCGTGGACCCAAAGAATTCTTTCAATCTAGTATTTCTCATCCTACCAAAATACCAGCAGCATTCCAAGTATTTGGATTCAAGTGCAAACCCCTGCAGATGGATTTTTGTTTAAAGAACTGAACAAACAAAACATTATTTGCTTCAAAATTCTTCTACTTGTGGTGAAAGCTGAGCTATGCTGAAATCAATAGGGCTGTTGGCATTGTTTTCAACTGAGCTGGAATTTAATTTCCTGTACCCCACTTCTGATCTGCTAAAAACCACTAGAACAGAGCTTTGACCTTTCACAACAACATCTACAGCTGAAAATAAAGTGTTTTGTGCAAAATAAATACTTACAGGGCAGGTTACATAAACAGCATGAAAGCAGCAGCTGGTTTCTTCAGAGAGCAAACTTTGCCCCCAGCATGGTTGTTCTGGATTAATGGTGTTCTTGTTCCATACCCAGGCTCTGAAGCCTTGGGAAGTCCCTACCCCAACCCAGCAAGGTGGGAAGGTTTGTTATTTTAACTGTCGGCTGATAACAGCTTATCAGCAAATTTTCAAAGGTTAAGCTCAACACACATGCATGGCAGAAGTGCAAGGACAGGACAAGGGAAATGTTGAATTAGTGCTCCCTCTCCTCCTGCCCCTGCAGCAAGGGACAGAATCCTCTCATACCCCACGACCTGCAGCAATGCCAGCAAAGAAACTTCAACCAAAACTCTTGTCTTAAGTGAAAACATCTGAGAACCCAACAAAAGTGCCTTCTTTCAAAGGAGGAGCTTGCTTTGCCTACTGCATTCCCACTGGCTGCCACATGGGATGGAAAAGCTAACCAAAATCTATACGTTTGGTCCTTAAATACAAGGCAGTTTTATGACTGCTGCCAAATTTATCACTGACACCAAGCTCCATGACAACTCACTGGAAAACCAAAACAAAATCTTCAATTTAGGGCATGATATGATTTTTATTTCTATTCCAATCATGTTACTGAACTGTAAAGGGCTGATGCAACCTTAAACCAGAAAAAAAAAAAAAGCCCAGTTACAGACTCATTACTAATTCATCCTGGCTGAAGCTGCATACCAGCAGCTGCTGCCTCTCTCAATTAACAGCAAATATTGAACAGTATTGTCATTTAACGGTGCTTACTGCCTGCTGCCCTGTCCACTGCCCCATTTTCAAATGCTCTGGCACAATTTAAAGCATCAACACTAGTAAACAGAGCTTAGTTTAACCCCTTATGTATCACAGCAGAAGTGTTTTAGTCGCTTCCTATATTCATTAGGTGCTTGGTAGAAGCTGAAGCCCAAGGATGCAAGGTACCACCAGAATGGGATTGGTAACTCAGAGGCCCACAGGGTGCTTGGCTTCTGCACAGGCCTGAACTGTGAAAAATGACAGGAGTAACTTCAGTAGAGCAGATCTTCAGGAATTATTGCCAAAAGGTTGAAACAAAAGAGGGGGAAAAAAAGGAGACCACACATTCAGCCTCTCCTGTTGAAAACTTAGAACAATAAAAACCCAAAACAAATGGGGTAAAAAAATAAAGATACAGCCATTCTTCAGGAAGAGCATATCAATGCTGTGATTCCTGCTGACCACATCTCTGCACGAAGGAGTCAAAAGAGCCCAAATTTGGACCTCCCTTCCCTCTACTGTGCTCACAGATGCCTTTTGGCCAGGCTGGGTTTGAAGTAAATGATTATACAAACAGTGCAGCCAGAGCAAGCAACTGGAAGTGCAGCACTCCCACACTGCCTCTGCAGCACTTCCATGCCCTACTTGCTCCATGGTGTCAAGTTTGCTGGAAGTCTCTGCTGTATAAGGCACTGTACAGATGCTACTTTTCATTTCCACACTGTGCTCCCAGCACACCAGCATGAAGGAGCATCTCCAAGCTCTCCTATGAGCCCACTGCCAGCTGGGCCAGGGCCAACACATGGATACCAAGGACCTGGAGAAGGGAGGGGATGATGGGCCAGCCCAACTCCACTGCAAGGTGCACAGTAGCAATCTAGATACTACAGGACAAGATCAAGCAGCTTCTATACTGCATTTTTTAGAGTAGGAGCTAGGATCAGGTCATTCCAGCTGACCCTGAAACTGGGGTAATTCAGCTATTTCTGAGGTACCTGGACCTTTGTTCTATCCCTTCTGCAGAGGGAACAAAGCATGGGAGCTCCAAGGAACAATGCTCTGAGGGTTTGTCAAATACATGAGGGAATGGCTTGGAAAACTGGGCAGGTAAATGTTGGCCTGGGCTCTGGCCATGGCTCTTTGTGAACATACTTTCCCCAGGTTAGCACCTGGCTGCAAATCCCCTCATTTTCTCAGGTCCCTCTGCCTGTATCCTGTGCAGCTCCAACAGCCAGCCTGGTTTGCTGGGAGGATTCCTTCCCTCTAGGTTCCCTCAGCACCTTTGTGCCCATGGGGTCTGAGGCTCTCAGATATATCAGGTGATATGACTAATACCTCCATCTGCTCATTGTTACCTTCCCTCTCCTTTCCTGAAGAGGAGTCAGCATTAAAGTGCTCGTTCTACTCGATCTATTTTAGGAGCGTGGGCTTTCAGCATCCATGCAGCACTGCTTTAAGCTAGAAAACTTAAATCAAAGAAGTAGACCATGTTCTAGCAGGGAAAATTGAGCACTACGTCCTGTAAAAGTCTCTTGCAAGGTTCAGGAACAAAACTTTTGCAAAAAACAGTGATCTCCACTCCAGCGTGCCCAAGGAACAGAACTATTGCCCAGGTTTCACTCCAGGCCACAAAGCAGGGGCAGATGAGATCCAGGCCTTGGAAAATATCCCACTGCTCTCCATGGAGACCAAGTCAGCCAACACAGCTTGGAGCACCAACAGGCAATGTGCTG